GCGACTCAAATGTTTTCTTTAATTCAGGCTCAGTTACGTTTGTGTTTTATTTGATTTTTCACTAAGTACGGATCCGACAAAAAGCGAGCGATCGCCCCTGAGCAGTAGTAGTAGTAACGATAACCAACTCACTTGTACAAATCGCCGGGGAACTCATCGCCCTTGAGCACATCCACGCACGAGTCGGCCACCCTCGACACCTTTGGTGTCCAGCCATCGCACCTGGCGGCCATCACGTCCTTGATGCACTCGGCGAACACGCGCACCGCCGCCCGGATGGCGTGCTTGTCCGTCTGCAGCGGCACCGGGCGCATCGACAGCATTCCGACCGGTACGTTTCCCTTTTTCTTGGCGGTCGCGTTGCCCGCGGCGTTGCCCACGTCCAGCCACAGCCACGCAACGTTGCCCGTGGGCAGCAGACCCAGCGTGGCCGCCTGCCGCCAGACGGTCTGAGCCAACACCCGGTCACCGACCACCACCACCACCGACGCTTCGGACGTCGACAGCTCTACCATCGATCTGCGGAAAATCACAGCGGACCACTTATTAACGACAACGCGATCGGATGGTCGTGTTGAAACATAAAATCGTGATAACCAACAAAAAACGTCCACGCGGCAAAACGAACCCTTCGAAGCGAACGGTTTCTTCCTGTACCATTCAAACACGTCACGCGCTAATTTTTCCGACCCCAACCTCTTTTGCCCGATCGAAACATTTTTTTTTTTTTTTTGCGTTGCCATGCTGATCGTCTACGGCGGTGGTCTCAAACAAGCACATTGAATATTTTTTCTTCAGAAGTTTTTTTTTGTGTGTTTTATAAAATAATTTATATTTTGATAGACTGGTACATAATAAGAGATGTCAAGTATCTCAAGTGTAGCTCAAAAATAAAAATAAATTATAATTATTATTATAAAAAAACGAAATCAATACACAGTACAACGTCCATTTTTTTCATAATTATAATCAATAAAAAATTCATTTTGTCTTAATTTATTTTGTTTATTTTTGATTTAACATTTAAATGAGTAAAAAAAAAGGTGTTTTGCCTGCGAACCTTTTACGTAAATATATATGACTTGTTGGTAATTTGAGTTTGAGACCAATGGTCTACGGCAGTGATTCTCAACCGGGGTGACATGGAATCAATGTTGGGGTGGCACGAAATCTCTAAGGGAAAAGGTAAAAAATAAAAAAAACAATTAATTATAATAAAATCATATTATCGCCACAACTGTCATGTGCATAGCATACCTTAGGCTTTGTATTTTTATATTATTTAGATCCAATAAATAAGTGAAGTATTTTGATTTGCGAAATCGCTACATTATCGATTATCTTATTGATTTAACCGGAGTCGTTAGTCAGTTATTTTGCAGTCGTTAGATACGTATGTAGTGTTAAGGCTCTACAAATATAGAAGAAAATATGAGACTTGGTCTTTCCGCCATCATCCCTCGACTTCCTCAACTTTATAAAAACCACCAGGGCTCAATTTCTCATAAGTTTCTCACAAATTATTATTATTTTTTCTCTCTTTTTTTTTTTTTTTATTTGCAAATTTAAACTTTTAACTGTCAATGTTTATTGAACCCTACAACTCAACTACACTGTTGGTGTACTTCTGTGTATTGTATTTAATTTTAATTATTTCAAGAATTATTCAAAAATACACAGTTAAGATTATTTATTATTTTGACAATAGGGTGACGCGGTGTTTTATTCTAGTGGCTAAAAGTGACATGAACGAGAAAAATATGAGAATCACTGGTCTACGGGTATGCAAGTAGATAAATCGGTAACCCAAATGTTTTCCGGGTCGATGGCATTCGTACCATACCGCAGTACATGCTACTATCATGTAATTGCATTAGCATAAAACGATAGGTAATAATGATAATGCGTAAAACGATTTTCCGAAATTATTACGATTTTATAACAATCGTAAATAATAAGTATGACCAGTACGAATAAATCGTTTGTTTTAGAAATGGGCTTTTCATTTCTTTTTCGGAAGCGGCAATCTGATTTTCTCGGTTCCTCAAACAATTTTCAACATTTAAAATGTTGGTGTGCATTATTCTTTGAAAATGTTATTTATAAAAGTTGGATTTTTGAAAAAACATTCGGCCTGTGCCTAATATTCTCTAAATTAATCATCTATAATTATTTGCATAAAGAAGGATCACATGGTAACAGATTTTTTTTGTAAGCTCCTAAGAAAAAAAATTCGTATTTCATTGTTTACGATGCTTCATAAATTAGAACTTATACGATTTCAAATTAATAATTAAATTTATTTATGTTATTTCGATTAAATGTATTACAATAAAGCGTAACAATAGTTGAACGCTTTATACACGATAATGTCATCGTTCAAAATCAAGAGGTATTAAGACAAATGTTATGTAATATATTTTTATAATATTCATAGTATGCACTTCAACTACAACCTGTCAGACTGATATGTCTACGTCTACATTTCACTTGTTATTGTTAACTGTATTGATATTATTGTAACGATCGTATGATAAAATAATTTTCAGGAAGCGTCTCTCGAAATGTCAAAAGTGGAAATATGATCGAAAATTACGTTATCTTGATCGGATGAAAAGGGAAAAATTTTGTTTAAGTGAATTGCATTTATAACGCAATGACATAAGAAAATAATTCTTTATTTGATTTTTTTTTTTTTTTAATTCAAAAACATTTTTAACACCAATAACGAAAAATCTATAAAATCATTGTAATGAGACATTTAGAGTACCGTTTAGTTATAAAAAAGAGCAATATAAGCTCAAAAATAAAAATTAAAGTTAATCTTTAGTTGATCGAATGTAATAATAAAACCATTTAGCATAAAATCAATTTCAATACTTGTACATGTTATGATAAAATGTACCTTTGTATGTATTGACAACTTTAGTTTTTAAACATAAGAACATACCTAATAAATTTAAAATAAAAATCTAAATCATTAAATCAGAATACAATATTATTTGATCATCGTATTGATAAAAATAACATCTAACAACGTAATATTATACCTACATTGACGCTGTGATCATAGGGCTAAAAAAAAGTATTATAGTTATAAAAATAGAAACATTTTTTGTTATCTTAAATTAAAATGAATCATAAATATGTATTAATATATTTATTTGTGAGTGTTGAATATAATAATTCATAATTCAAAAAAAAATGAAGTCATAAATATATGAATTTTTATTTTTCTTATTATTTTACTATAATCTTTCTTGGAAGATATTATACTATTTTAGATTAGAGTAATTAATATTTCAGTATAAAAAAAAAAAAACAAATTTAAAATAGTGCACAATTTTCATTTATTCTAACGATTATTTATTTGTATTAATTTATACTACATTAATTTACAAATACTTTAAGCGACAACTATTAAAATTAATATATTAAATAATATAAAATTTTTATCGGTAATCAAAAAATTAAATAATATAAACATCTAGGCAAAAAGTGTTTCAACCTTCTTCAGTATCCTTCTTACACATCTGAAGTATTATAGAAACTAATATATCACATTTCAAGTACATGTGATTTATTATTTTTAAGATAAAGCGATTTGTGAGTGAGTGGTATTTAAGTTTTTATATTATAAAATAAAAAAAATAACGTTTATCGGGTAGAAATATCTTGATAAATATCATTTTAAAAACCAAATAAAACGATTTTTAAGATCATCAAATGTTATCTTTGTATATAAACTGAAAAGACCTTATTTAGATGGATTTGTATATTTTCACAAATGTAAAATTATTGATGTAAAGCTTGTTTACATTTTTTATACGATGTAATTTCGAAGCTTTTACATAAACTAAATCATTAGAAAATAATAACTAAATTTGACACATTATACAAATGTATAAAATAAACACATGATTTTAGTGGCAATAGTTATTATTTTGCAATCAACTACGATATCTTTATATTATCTATCAAAAACTTAACTTTAAAATAAAAATTAAGATTAGTAGGTACAGAAAGTACCAATCACAGGAATTCGAGCAATTCGTACGTGACTTAGAAATAAAATGTATATATTATTTTGTTCTATATATAAATTTAAGAAATCTAATAAAGTCATAAGACCATTGCCATACACAAGATCGGTATATATGGTGTGGGTAGCCTGACCCTTTTTCAGTAGCATTTCGCATTTATAAAAAAACTGCTTTTTTAATAACTCCTATAATTTATTGACTTCATTAATAACCTCAGCATGTACCGAAAGAAGCTTTATTAAGCTCAAAAGAATTAAAAACATAATTTCTCAAAATGAACAGGGAAAATTGTTTAAACTCGTAAAAAAAAAGTATCGAATTCTTGTAGGATCTAAGTATTATGATATTAATTAACTTGTTTCCAATAAATTAAAGAAAATGTTTATTTTATATTTTTAAAATGTAAGTAATTTAGGTAAGGAAGTATATGATTATCAGATTATTTTAAAAAATTAAAATAAACATGTGTTATTTTACCAGGATTAAAAAATACCAATTGAAATGTAACCATTTGAAAACTACGTAAGCACTTAATTGAAAAAAATATTTTTTTTGGTCAGAACCTCAACGGTCATCTCAATCGTTTGGTCCTAGGTCTTACGTAACGCCATTTCAGTTTACCTGATACGCGAACACAATTCAAATTTTCAGCCCGGTTGAACAACCATCCTCAGTCTATACATTGTCAAACAATATGTAACGCGCAGATTGAAACTTGTTCAAAAATTAAAGTGGATAAGTGGTGGAGACGTTAACAAACAAACGCATACAGTTATTTACCTGAATAACATGAGGTCGGAGGAGTCCGAAGATATGGGCACGGACGTGTAACTCAGCGGAGCCTTGCCCAGCATTGTTTGCACGCCTGAGTCAATCGTTATGGAGTGCAATACGTAAAATGTATGCCACCCTGTGTGCAACAAAAACGATCTGAGGGCTGAAAATAGTTCCCACGGCGTAATCGACACCCTGACCACCAGTTCGCTCCAACGTTCCTGTATAAATCAAACGAAACTCATAAAATATAATATATAGCTGACATGTATAAAAATATACGTGTATATGCGTGTATGTTTGTTGATTGTACCTTCGTCCAACTAAACTTTTCTCTACCTGAACCCAATATGGGACGAAAATGTTTGATTAATGTGTTATTTTTTACTACCATTATTCAAATATATGGAATTCTAATACTTTTTCTGGTGATAATTCTTCATGGATTTCTCGTGCGGACGGAAATTTTTATTTTTACATGCTATAAGTATATAAGTAAAATTATAAGTACAGCTATATTCCATAAGAAAACATAATTTATTTCAAAATAAAATACCGATTTAAAATATTTAAATTACTTTATTTTAAAATCAATAAACGCAATATTTTTCCCTATTACCCAAATACATAAATGTCAGTAAATAATACTAAACAAATGTAAAACAATGTAATTTAATGTATACCAATCTAACTAAAATAATGTTAGTAATAAATATAGTAATTATTACTATATTATTAGACTATATAATTTCTATAAAGACTGGTATTGAAACGATGACGAAAAATATAAATGGATTTAAAATAAATATAGCTATTCCAAACTAAAATTAATTTTTTTCATTCATCGTTATCCTTAATCATAACTGACGTACATGCAAAAAAAAAAAAATGATTAATAGATTGTGAAACTACACTTATTATAGGATTTTTTTTACCAAATCGTATACGCCATTTTAGCTGAAATTTGGCTTTTACAGTTTGAATATCCAATTCTAATGCCAGATAACATAAAGTTTAACTTATAATAAATCATGATTATTTTTCAATGGACGTATTATAGATGAATCGGTTTATAATATTCGATAATTAATATATTGTATAATTACCATTGCAATAAAACAATTAAAAATAATTCTCACTAATGATTTTACTCATATAAAGATAATATTATTAGTAGTTTTTTTTTTCTAAGAATCAAAAGGAGTAGATGACGCATTATTATGTAATTTAAGTCATATTCTTCTTGTCAAAAAACGAATTAAATCCGATTGAGTATTATTTCTCATTAAAATTCAAATTAAATACGATTTTGGTTTAAAAATGTTCTTGTTTCTGAAACTAGTAAAATGAAAGTATATTTCATAAATTCAGATAATTATTTAAATTAAAAAATATGGAAATATATAAGAAGTAACTTTTATTAAAATAAAGACAAGTTAATTATATATAAATAATAAGATATAAAATTGAATACAGGAAAATAAATGGTTATTTATAATAGTGGTTTTCAACTTGGAGTACGCATATCCCTAGGTATGTGAAAAAATATTGGATAATAGCGGAAAAAATTGAAAACGTTTTATTTAAAACTATTTGTTTCAGAAATATGCAATATATATTATAAAAAATTAAAACATATATTATCATATTGAAAATACAGTGTTTTGTGTAATTACTTCTATTATATAACTAAGTTTTATACTCAACGATTTATTCGAAGTCTTGGTACATTATTTAATCTGAGAGTTAAATAGTTTATTCATAAATGTACTCATTTTACAGTTCACACAATTATTTTAACCAACTTGTTTGTTTTTATAAATAAAACATATTCATCATTAGTAATAAATACCAATCCCTTTAATCTGTGACAAACATTTTAAGTTTGATCTACACGGTAAAATTATTATTATAAGTTATTGTGAATATTAATTAGAGACATAAATAATCGGTTTACGTATTCAAAATAAATCGTAAATTAATTAATACGACGGGCTATAGTTGAACATAACATATAGCTTAAAATATTTTACAGTGGCCTTATGAATATACATGTTAAGCAAGTATACGGTTAATACGCGTATTCGTGCATTTATTTTGGGTAAAGAACTCTAGAAAACAGTTCACATAACCTGTAATAAATACCATGTTTAGTAGAAATTACTGGTATTTAATGTGGCTCGAATATTGTTTAGTCAATACTCATGCTAGTTGAATTCAAATTGATTATCTAAACTATAGAACATATTTAAACATGTAATATATTTCTCTGTAGCATACTATATTTTTAATTTCTAAACACCTTCTCAAACATTAAATTTGATACTAGAACGAAATTGAAAACTTAAGTGTTAAATAAAGTTCTCTCAACATTAAAAAAATTTATTTGTTAAAAAAGGTCAATTATATCAATCAAGTTTAACCATAACTCTTCTTTTATATTATTGAAAACTAATCAAATCACATAATACTCAATTTAATATTTTCTTTAAATATATTATATAAGTATTGTTTGGAGAGTATATGATATGTATGTAAAATTATAGAAGCTCAATATATAATTCCATCTCACACGATTCATAATTAAAACATAATATATATATATATATATATATCTACACAAAATATAGAATTAATAATAATAAATTATTTCAAGTATAAATTGTATAAATATGATAATCTATTTTCGAAATGTGTTCGCTGATAAATAGGAACGTGGTAGTTTTCATTGAGTAATTGATTTAACAACTCAACTTTATTTTTAATTAATAATATTTTTAATAATATTTTTCGTAATTCGAAAATTCCCCAATAATATTTTTTTTCAAATCAAATTGTCTGTAGTATAACCTTGACTGAATATATATAGTAAGACAAACAACAGCTAACAATCTTTGTCTCGATTTTTCTTTGTATGATGTTCCAAAACATTTCTGATTTTTACCGAGTATTCTGTATCCGCATTTTGTATCGGGATTTCTTTTATTATTTCTCATTTACTAAAAGGTATCCATTATAAGCAAAATACCCCTTTGTACTTATTTATTTTCATAATATTTTTCTTATCGATTTTTATATCCTTTTAATATTCTATACACTATGTGAAATGTTTATCAATGTATATAACGGTTTACGACTAAAATTTTACTGGAAATCTAAAATGAAAAACGTCCTGTTCTATTTTTAAAATTATATTAATATATTATCATTGTGCAAATGGTAAATAATTTGTTTTGTAAGACGTTGTGTGTATATGAACTTCAGTAAAACAATCATCTATTAGACTCCATATTGAATGAAAATTAATGTCATCCGTTTAATAATTTTCCCATGTGAGTATCCATGATATTTATGAATCGATAAATCTTAATGTTGTTTAATAACACGGAAGTGCGCATCACGTAAAGTTGCTTATATCGTGGGTAGCAGCTGTAATTCTTCGTTGAGCCAGTTCCGCATGTAATTTCAAGTCAATTACGCTCCACGCATTACATTTCGACTGTTGAAATGCATAAGAAGCTATGCGACATGGTGCACTCGTACACTGCAGACAACCGTCAGTCAGAACATTCGATCGCACAAGTGCTTGTATTCTTCTGACCATTTAATAGGAATAAAAATATTTTATGTTAATTTGCTTAATATAGTTTATTGGCTGATTTATTTTTAATTTTTCATTGCAGAGTACCGATGACTTGCTCGCGTTGATCAATAAATGGTGCACTTACCGTTCATCGCGTGAAAATCGGAGCAATCGCATTAAATTTCAATGTGATATTCGGCAAATAACCGCAAAGCTATTTGTCTACTGTGTTTATCGACGGGCAACAACGCGTTGCGATTTGAAAACCATACGCGTAATGTCCGTCGGGAGCATTGTACGGTTTATTTGGAACTCAATGGTTCTAACCCGCCCGTTCGCCTCGATATATTTTCCGACCACAGATGTTCGGTGCAACAATAATGCTCGCAAAACACGCCATTCCGTCCGCGTATCACGCTCGTCGCCCAGTTCCGTTATCGGTGGCGCTCGGGGAACAGTGGAGCCCGTTAATTTCCTGGCGAATCCGATTCCCGATCGGCCGCGCGGCGAATACATTATGCAAACGTGAACATATTTGCATTTACGTGCGGATTGTACGGGACCGTGCGCCGGACGTGCGTCCAGTAGACGGCCGCCGCGTGTGTGCGACACACGGGACCAACGGCCGTCTCTCGTCCTGCACGTAGCCACGACGTTAAAAGGTTTCCGTGCGGATGCGCGCGAAAGTACCGTCCGGCACGGCGAAGGGCGTGGCGGTGGCGCGTGCCGAAGATCGCGGCCGGGCGATATGCGATCGGGCCCCCGTTACGTTATCCGGCGCCGCAATACACCCCCTCGCGGTCGTTGCACGCACAACGCATACGCGTAGGAAACGCGAGCGCCAGGATTTATGGCAGGACGTGTCCTCTCGCCTCCCGTACATCGGCCCGGTCCTGCTAAGCCGGTGCACGCGCACCGGAACCGATGTTCGCACGACCACGTAACGTACGAGCGCGCACCTCCGACACCGGTTTTGCTACCGGCGTGCCCCGTAGCGCGCGTGTTCGGATTTGTTCGCGGAGTTGCCCGCGGGCACGCGCACCCCACCGCACTCGACCGGGTACACGGTACGAATGGAGACGAACAGTGTCGCATAATAAGTTCGGTCGTTTCGAACCGGAGAAACCTCCATCTCCTATTTGTCATTGTCCTTCCCCCCCCTCCCCGTCGTAGCACGCCGCAACGCCTGAGCGAATTTATGGCTCGTGACGAAGACGGAACGACGTGTTCGCGCCCGATGTGTTTCGCTGTAACGCACGATAGTAAACAAACGCGACGAGAAGTGTAATCTGCGAAAGTAATAACAGTACGCACGTACGGCTCGCAGCGATAATAACATTATACGCTCGTACGCGTACGAACGCGGTTTGGATATTTTTTTCTTTTCCTTTCCCGGAGTACGTAACACCGTTTCATTTTTTTTTTTTCGTCACCGCGATGATAACACAACAATATACGAAAAAAAACCACCCTTATTCACAGCTATCACGTGATACGCGCTCGGCCCCGTCGTCGGCGGCTGACGCCAACGGCACGAATAACTCGTATAATTCAGCGGGTCCGAGTGCTGATGCGCGTTCCACGTCCAGAGCTCTTACAGCTCTGTAGCCCCGCAACAACAGAACCGGTCGTGACCCG